TGGAAAAGTCAAAATGTTGGGAAACTTTCGATATTTGCATTTATTGCACCAAATTCAGCCAACAATTGTTGAAATTGTTGAAGATTAAAAGCAATTTTCGGTGCAAGTGGGAAGAAATTGTTGAATTTCATGCTTGGGATTATTACACTTTAGTCCCTGCACTTTAGGGTATTTTCAAATATTAGTCCTTAAGCTTCAACTATAAATACCCTTACCCATTTAGCTTCAAAATCATCCCAAATCATTTCTTTCTCCCAATATTAAAGAGTTTAGAGAGTTCTCTTGTGAGTTGTGAGTGTTTTGTAAACACCTGTAAATTTTCTCTCTTAAGTAAAAGATCTGTAACAATCCGAAGACGTATGCATAATTGGCTGAACTCCATTATCATTTTCGGGTATTATTTTTTCACTTTTATTTCGTATTCTCACTAATCTAGTTATAGGGAAATTACTCATTTAATTTCCAACAGCAATCACCTAAAAACTTGGAAGCAACACAGTGTTAAGTTTACCTATATAACTAGGTTTCGAAATTCGACATGTCATGGTAGATGTGTGTTACATATACAGCTGGGTTTCTAGGGTCATCCTCAGGAATATTCTTTTCCACTTTCCCGAAAAGATCAGTACCAATATCAGCAGCTTTGGTATAGATTCCTCCGCCAACTCTACCAAAAAGATCCATCGAGGAACCTCGGAGGCCATAACCGGTGATGGGCTCGAAAAAGACCAGCTCAATCATCATCATAGTAGAGCTTGAATAAGTTGATTGCAATGAAAAGCACCAAAAGGATACTAGTAGTAAGAAGAAAGCCCATCACAGTACCAAATCGAAAGGCGATGATGAACTTCTTCCCAGCTCCCTTCCTTGCCTCCAGGGTAGTTTATAGCGTTCGCATAAGTGGCGATCTTCATCCCAAGGAAACAGGAAATGAGCGAAGTGATAGCGCTGATCAAGAATGATATGGTGTTGAATGCGGAAGTGGTGAGAGTAGGCTTGCACGTCTTGAATGGATTGTCTGAGCAAGGCTAGCTCGCCATGCTGAAACCCTCTACGGAGCCGAGGAAAATAAAAATCAAGACGGTGAATACAACCATGAAAACACCATCGTACTGGTATTTGATGAAAAGAAATGAGGCAGGCCCTATATGATATCCAAATATTAATGGCGTTATGAATATAGTTTGTAGAACAAGTTTGTGATTAGAAAAAGAGATAAACCTTCAGGGATGGCGTTTTGAATGTCAGCATATTTACGAATAACATTGTTGCCATTTTGGCCTTCTTCTTCTTCTTCTTCTTCAATAAGGCAATGGGTACAACCATTTTCTCCACCGGCACCATCGTTCCCGGGGGATCATGAATCGTGATCATGAGAGAGCTTCACATTGGAAACCAGAACCCATTGCACCAGATAAACGACTATGCCAATCACCGAACAAACTGGGATCAGAATCTCAGCTCCAAGTTCCGATAATATCGAAGCTCCCATTTTTAACCAATCCCCCCTAAAGAAACGAAAATGCACAACTAAAACAAAAATATTTTCTGATTTCTTTTACAAAGAAATGCATTTTTATACACTTCGACATTGTCAAAGTGACCAGTTGACCTTTGCTTTAGCCACGTTTTAAGGATTGTTGAATTGTCATTTTAAGGATCATATTTTTAACATGTAAATCACACACAAAATATATACATAAACGATTATATGCTCTTGTACATCAGATTAGCAACTGTTAATCAATGCCATTCTAGTTGATTTTTCAGAACTCGAGCTTTGAGTCTGTGTTTGAGGCATTTGGGATTTAACTTTATTACAGTTTGATAGACTTATGTTAAATACAGTACAACAATGTTTTTTCAGATTACGATAGTTATCCCTATAGCTATTTCTGATTAAAATGGGCTTTCATCATGCCCCATCATTTGCTTCTTGTTGATATGAGCTTTCAAAATGCCCCACATGGATCATTTGTGTCTAAAATAGGCCTTCAAAATGTCCCAACATTCCATTTTTGGTTAAAATGGGCCTTCAAAATGTCTCAACATTTTTATGTTGGTGTGAGTCTTCAAGATGCCCCAATCATAGATAATATGGGCCTTCCAAATGCCCCTCATTATTTCTGGTTGAAATGGGCCTTCAAGATATCCTAACATTCTATGTTGTAAAGTTCACTCTCAATGTATTGGATTTAAATCTCATGATCTCCACGAGGTCCTATTTTGATAATGCCTCATTGTGGGTACTCGTGGCTCTATTAGTGTCAAATTTCTTAATCTTGAATGTTCCTATTCGGGTATTACTAAACAATATTATTTTCAAGTAACTAGAGGGATTATCTTCATATTGTCACAAACTTAAGAAGTGTTCAATCCTTCTGATAGAAATGTCTGAGATATGTGTCTCTTTTAAATAAGGTGGTCATCTTCTACTTGACTGGTTGTATTCTTGCCTTTTTGCTATGCACTGGGATATGTGATCTTTTTTTTGAACGACACAATCATCATCTTCTTATCAGATTGTTGATAATGTCACAAGAGAGTGTTACAAGTTCTCTCCTCCAGCCCTCTTAATTTTCTAGACCACTTGCTTTCAAGAATGTGAAGTGCTTCATTATTTTGGCATCACTCATTCTTTTTCTCCACAATAGTAGAATATGCATCAACTTGCTTCAAGATATTTTCTCATTTGATATCATCCTATTTGAAAATGTTGTTTCTCCTTTCTTATCAAATAATGAAAGAATTTTGTAAAATATTACCTCTTATAGGTTCACAATATAATCAAATCATAAGCATGAATTCAAATAATATCGAAAGAATCGTCAACTTTTACCATTTCAAAGTTATAGTTCTTTGAAAAGTATCAAGATTAAGAGGTTAGTTTTAGGTTGGCTTCCCTATTTTCTATGGTTACATCTTAGTGAAGATGTCACTCCTCTCTCACTCTTTTGTGAACATTGTCACATACCTCACTTTCTTAACTTGGTATCTTTAACCGGATGTATTCAAAATGACACAGTCTAGTATAACAATTACTATACCTTCTAAAATACTTCCATTTTAATTCTCTGAAATCTTTGATTTTATTCAAAGCAGTGTGAAAACATCGATCCAATAACGAGATTTCTGTGTGCATATGCGTGAAATAGACTATAACAGTTATTATTTCACTTTCTTTACAACTTCTTTTGGCTAGATGAATTTAGCTTTATTGACATTAGCCTACACTGGGCTAGAAGAAGAGTTTATCTTATCACAAAGTCTTTCACTTGACAATCATAGTGGAGCAAACACCGAACTCCCAGCTACCCGAACAATGCCATATTTTGAACATAATCTATTCATAAAGCCGGGGCTTTTGAGTTTCCTCTAGAACCAATTGCCTTAGTGGAATAGCTCAGCTTTTATCGAATATATGACTCTTACTTTTAGAGAGAACCTATTATAGTCTACGTATTAGGTGAAAGTCAGAAAATCTCATTACCAAATTTTAATTCACCAGCAGCTAACTTTAGACTAGATTTGTCAAAGTTTCATCGTGGAACGTCATCAATAGAAAAGTAATCTAGATAGCTCTGCAATGTCACAAAAGATGCCCCACATTGTATGCTTCTAAATATCAATACCAAACCTTTTGTCTAATTCCTTACATTGGAGAAAGCTCTCTCATATTTGTGGAAAGGTAATATTTGGGGGGATGCATTTATTCTGAGGTAAGGTCATAATCCTTTTTTTCTTGGCATTCAATCTTGATACTTTTGTTAAAGATGTATAACTCTAATCATAAAGAGCTTTTAATCTAATGATACTCAAAGAATTTCAAGATTTAAATTTGATCCCTTGCTCATAACCTTAAAAGTACCACATTTTTATTACAAAAGGCGGAGAAATGAACAAAAACATATTCAAACAAGATGTTGAAAATAGAAAATACTATAGTGGTAGATAACAACTTCCACTTGTTTATTTAGAATGTCTCATTATTCCTCGAATGTCCATGCTCCTGATTCAATTAAATTATGAACCTTGTGCTTTAATGCCCCATAATTCTCAGTAGTATGCCCCTTGCTTCCCTTATGGTAGCTACATATTGTATTTTTATACCCTTTAGGAAATGGGGGTTCTTTCGGTTGAGACTGAACTGGAGTCATGATATTCTGTTGAACTAGTAATGGGAGCAGTTCTTCATATGTCATTGGAATTTCATCGATATGAGCCTTCTCTCGGGTCATTCTATAAGATTTGGTCCCATGATTAGTTGAATAATACCTCACTCTATTGATATCGGCTTCTCTCTCGACGTCAGTACTGTCGGAGCCTCTTATCTTGCCATTTTTTATAGCTATTTCAATCATTTCTCCACACATGACAATGTCAAAGAAATTATTAATAGCAACCCCTATCATGTGATTAATATAGGGAGATTTTAATGTATTGATGAACAAAGTAGTGAACTCCCTTTAAGTCAATGGTGGATGCATTTGAGAAACAACGTTCCTCTGTCATTGTGAATATTGTCAAAAGCTCTTATTGCACTTCATATGCATGTTTTACAACATTGTTCGATCAGAGGTCATATCATTCATGTGCTTGTATTGACCCAAAAAGGCTTGAGCTAAGTCTTTCCAAGAACGTATTTGAGTACTTTTTAGCTGATTATACCATTTGGATGCAGGTCCAGATAAACTATCTTGAAAACAGTGGATCAACAACTTTTCATTTTTCACACAGTCAGTCATGCGACGACAATACATGGTGATATGAGATGAAGGGCATGTGGTCCCATTATACTTCTCGAAATTAGGAACCTTGAAATTTTGTGAGAGAACTAGGTCGAGGACCAAACTTAGTTCTTTGGCGTCAAACCCATAAAATGACTCAGTCGTCTCTATAGATTTTATCACATCTTCTATATTTTTCAGTCGTTGGATGTTTTTTTCATTTTAACTAATTCACACAGTCGTCTCTATAGATTTTATCACATCTTCTATATTTTAACTAATTCTTCCAGCCAATGACAAAGTTTTAGCCGTCCACCCTGAGAGCTTATCACGAACTCTCGAAACAATATAACTGTACGAAGATTTCGTAATCCGAGAATGTAAAAGAGGAACTCCAAGATACTTACCCAAATTTTGAACCTCTTGGAAGCCAAAAGATGCACTGATAGAATTTTTCAAGCTCGAATCCACATTCATTGAGTAATAAATAGTAGTTTTCTGGATATTGATCTTTTGTCCCGAAAAATTGCAGAATAGCTCCAATATTCCCCGTATAACATTACATTGCTCGATAGAAGCCTCTGCAAAAAAGAACCAAGTCATCGGCGAAGAATAGATGGGAGAGAGCAGGCCCATTACAACACAAGCGAATAGGCTTCCATATTCCATTAGTTACCGCACCAGCTATCACATGTACTAACCTCTCCATGCACATAACAAACAAATAAGGTGATAAAGGATCACCTTGGAGAAGCCCTCTTGATGGGTTGAACGATGTAGACATAGCACCGTTCCAAAGCACACACAATGCATGATAAGCATCCTAAGATTGTCCGGGATGTGAAGCTTTTTTAATGTGTCATTGATGAAAGGCCATTCAAGTCGATCATACGCTTTCTCAAGATCAATCTTGATAGCCATATAACCAGTCTTTCCTTTCTTCAATCTCATAGAGTGGACTACCTCTTGCGCAACGATAATATTATCAGTGATCGACCTGTCAGGGACAAAGCTTGTTTAAGTTTCCGAGATCCAGAGACTCATTAAAGGTTTCAGCCGATTCACAATGATTATTTGTGATCAGCTTATATAAAACTGAGCACAAACTAATGGGTCGAAAATGGTTAAATGACTCTGGTACTTTAATTTTTGGGATAAGTACCAAAAGAGTTCGATTGAGTTCCTTGTCAAAAGTACCGCCTGCAAAAATATTATGAATCATTCTATATACACTAAATTGTACTGTTTCCCAATTCTTTTGGTAGAAAAAAGCGTGAAGGCCATCCACTCCAGGTGCCTTTAGCGGACTCATGCTAAATAACACCTCTCAGATTTCTTCCATAAATAACGGTCTCGTAAGAGCACTCAATTTCGAATAAGGAATTACGGGAAATCAACCCTTAATCGAATACCCCTCTCCATCTGCTGAGCTACTGGTGAATAAATCCCTATAAAAATTAACTGCCATCGAACAAAGGGCTACTTGGTCCGATATCCAACTACCATCCGCTTCCTTGAGAGCACGAACGTAATTATGTCGACGCCTAAGCATCGTGCATGCATGAAAGAATTTAGTATTTTTATCCCCATGGAGTATCCATTGATTTCTTGATTTTTGAAGCCATAAACTCTCCTCTTGTTGAAGGACCTCCTCAAGTTCATTTTTCAACATGTACTGCAAATCCACCAGCCTCCGAGAGTAGCAAGAAGTTAGAGCCTTATCAATACCTCGCAATCGGGCCAATAGCTCTCTTTTTTACCTCCCTATATGACCAAATACCTTCAAATTCCAATCAGTAACTTTACTTTGAAATAAATTAACATTAGTTAAAACATCCAAATCATTATTCCAAGCTTCGGACAAGAAATTCTTAAATTGAGTGTGGTCCTGCCATGCAACAATAAAACGAAAAGGCCGAGTCCCCTGAACTTTCGTGTTACTCTGAGATTTAAGTAGAAGAGGGCAATGATCCGAACCCACCCTGTCTAGATGTAAGACCAAAGTGCCCGAGAAAACATCCACCCAACAACTGTTCATAAGGCAGCGATCTAATCGTTTACAAAGATTACCTCTTCTCCACGTGAACTTTGGTCCCCGATAATCCACTTCAAATAACCCCATCTCAAAAACAAACTCCGCAAACAAGTTACTAACTCCTAAACCACGACTTGCTCCTCCCTCCCTTTCCTCGAGACGAAGAATGGAATTGAAATCACCACCCAATGCCCAAGCTTCATTGTCACATGGATCAAGATTCATAAGATGCTTCCATACTAGCTTTCGTTTCTCCACTTGAGGGCTCGCATAAACTACAGTAAAATATAGCCATCTATTTACAACATCAGACCAACATCTGCTATGAATAAATTGAGTCGAATTAGTCAAAACTTCGACATTTAATCCATCTTTCCAAAGTAGCCAAATTCCACCACTAAATCCCAAAGCTTCGACTCTAAAAGAGTTCTGAAAACCGAATTTCCGGATGACTTTCTTAGCAGCATTACCACTAATCTGAGTCTCTAGCAGCGCAACAATTCCAGGTCTACTTTCCCGACAATGTTCCGAAAGTAACGTCTAAAATTTGGGCTACCAGCACCCTGACAATTCCAAAAAAGAATATTAACCATTAAACAAAGTATTCAAGAGCATACCCTTACTGGGGTAAATTCGGGTTAGCGTTTTCGCCATCTGGGAAAATAACGTCTGTTGCTACTGTTTCTAACGGTCCCACTACAGGTGAGTTTCCTTCTCCCCTATCGTTTTCACCTAAGGAGGATGAGCCCTCTCCATACAGCGATCTGCGGTCCAGATGTGTGCTAAGCGTTGCATTCCGCAACCAATCTGTAAGAACTGCCGGTGGGAATTTAAAATCTTTATTTTTCTTTTTCACTTTCAGTCCCTTAGAACCATCCCCCACCTCTCGCTTATTTCCTTTATTCCGAATGCTTTTGTTTATGACAGTAGGTCGGCTGTCTTCCGAAATGGTGACTGTCGAGTGGTTACCCGCAACTTTAACATTGCAATGTTTCGTTACTTGGGGAGTCACCCCATCCTTTATGGTTACCACATTTATCTACTGTAGTGTTCGAATTTCCCCAACCTTTTCCATTTAAACCTGGATATCCCAGACTACTTGCACCGACCTCCATTAAACCATTATCTTTTGTACCTTTTCCTTTTGCTCGTGTATCTATCCGAGAGATGTTGGCTGGAATTTTCTCATGAATACTTTCAATTGTTGCTATATCTGGAACCTTCGCAGTATCTTCAGTTACGCCATTATTTTTTACACCCAAGATAGCAAATCGTGAACCTCTCGCAACATCACTACTTGTTTTCATATTCGGATCAGTAATTTTCTTTGTACGCCTTCACCACGTTTCAGCTATCATCCATGGTCCAAAACCATACTCCTCGCCACCTACTTCTTTCTCCAACTCAGCGCTTGAACCATTAACAACTCCTCCCTTACTTGTATTCGCTTCAACAGAGCCACAAATATCTTTCGAGTGACCATATACTCCACATTGGAAACATATTTGCTGTAATCCTTCATACTCGATTTTCTGCCAAAACCCATCAATTTTTAAGCATGGAATTAATGGCTTGTTAAGATTCACTAACAATGCCAAATGAGCAAAACGACCTCTCTCCCCTGAATTTGTACTATAATCGATCTTCACAACCTGACCAATAACCGACGCAATAAGACGAAAGATCACTTTGGAATAGTATTTATAAGGAAGACCCGGTAATCTAACCCAAACAATTACCTGTGATGGATGTTTTTTTGACGTGGAAAATGTACGACTCCATGGTTGAACCGTAAGATAGCTTCCGTAAATCATCCATGGCCCTTCCATCAAGACATGGATATAATCCTGTTCTCTCTCAAACTTCACCAGGAAATATTCATTCTCTAAATCAATGACTTGGTATTGCCCTTGAAGCTACCATATTAAACCAATCCGATTCATCAACGTCTTGTAACCAATAGCACGTCCCAAGAGCCGGACTATCACCGAGCACCGCATACTATAGTCAATTCTATCATGAACTTGATCAGCAAATTGAATCACATGATACGAACCATTATTATCCACGATACATTCACCATCTAGAACCACCACCTCATCCATAGCCTGAAACGAAACAACGTCAACCGTCTGCTTCGATTGGTCCATGACTGCACTGGCATAAGTTTGTTTTTCCTGTTGCCGAGATCCCTCATTAGTGCTATCCACCGTCGATTGAAATTCCATACCGTTCTGATCTTCTTCCATTCGGTCATCGTTAAATTCCTTATTACTAACTTTCTTAGAAACACGTTGATCCTCGTCGGGAAAGGGGGAACCCGGTCTCTCCAAAGTTGGTGAAGTCAACACTTCAATCCCATGAAGATTTCCAACGATATTACCGCCAATAGGGGGAGGTGCCGGAGAAACAAAAGCAGGCGGCGGATGATGATTGCGATCTCGTAATGGAGAAGCAGGGTTTTCGTTAGGTATTTCCATTTGTGCGTAATGTGTAATAGGGTTTACATATTAAATATATAAGTAAGAGTTATATGAATACATATATCTTTTAAAGTAAATAGTAGTATACTCTAGTGCAAATACGTTGAAAATCTTGTAACGATGGTTCTCTTTAGTGTTGTTTGTGGGCTATATAAGCCTATCAATGTAATGGACTAAAGTGAGAGGTCTTTGTAATTTATATCTATTCGTTTAGTAAAATATCCCATTTTCTCTATATTTGTTCTCTTCAGTAAAATAATTACTGGTTCTACTTTCACCGTTCATACCTGTCGTTCGGTAGCCTCCGATCATCGTGCCAGAGTTTAAGTTTTCTTCATGGTATCATTCACCAACGGTCCTAATGTTGTTTTTCTTTCGCTGCTGCCTTTTGGATATGTCGTCGATTTTACTTCCGCCGGTTATTTGCGCTTTGTCAGTCGATGATCAGCTTCTTCAAGCACCACGTGACGATTGAGTTTCTTCCTCTTAAGTCGTTGCTACCACAACGAGTTACTATTTCACTATTGTTGCTGCTAAAGAGTTTGTAGATCGTTACGAATATGATGGATCACTACATCTTCGGTGCGATTTGTTGATAATTCATCATCGTTCCTTTGTTTTTTTTCTAGCTGATGTTGCATTTCTGCAATCTGAAATCGTCAATTTGTTTCTCCGGTGAGATCTATACATTTATGGTTCTTTTTAGCGTTGTTGCACTTTGATTCTTTGTTTTGATTTTTCGAGTGTGGTTCTTGGAGCTGTAATTTGGTTTGTGTTGGGCATTTATGTTGTTGTTTTCCCCTATGGTTTTGGTTCAAACCGGCTTGCTTAAGTTTGAGGGATACCTCCACAATTATATTGTCATTTACCTTTCAATTTGAGATCAACACATGCTTGTGATTCAGATTAGTTCTCTTGTTTATATAGTTTAGTGTGCATGCACTGCATCAATGATTTGGATGCATCAGATCTTAGATTCCTGGTTGTAAGCAACTGCTGTTGTTTGGCTTCTGCTAAATTTGTTGTCCTACTGCTCTTGAAAGTTGGTACTCTATTATGGCATGGTTCTATGGCAGCTTCTTGGATTTATTATTGATGTGTATCAATCTGAATGTCTAGAAACTGGTCGATGAAATGCCTGAATGAGTAACTCTGAAATTTGCTGCTTAGTTTTTCCCTCTACGTGTCCCTGTGTTGATGTTATATTTCCCTGGTTTCAATTTTGTTTGGTGTGGACTGTCTCATCTTGGTTGTGGTTCAATCAAACTTGAACTTGTTGGCGGCTATTGTATGAACGTAACCACTGGATGGGATCGAACTAGTCTGATGTTTCTGCTTAGTGCTTTGGTTGATAGCCAGTTTTGCTTATAGTTTTCAATGGAGTTTGTTGCAGATGTCAATTTTTTGTTTTAGTTGTTTTAGTTAATATTTGATTGCTTTAGTTCACTACTGCTCGTGTTATTCATTTGTATTGTGGTTTTGCTGCTACAAATTGTTGATGGTTTGATTCTAAGTTGACTAGCGTGGTTAATACTCCTCAATTGAGTTGGTGCATCCATTGTTTTGCTGGTTGTGTATTTTCCGTTTGGTTCTCAAATTATTCAACAATTTTAAGGTGTTCATTGAGTATTTTTCATCACTTGTTACTTCTTCTCCAAGGAATACATGTAACTTGAAAGCATTACAGCTAAGTGTCCATGGCAAAATATCTACAAGGAGGGTTAAGAGTTTAACGACCTTGCCTTCCTTAACCATACAAAATAGGATGTTTTCTTGCCCAAGAGAGGCTTCAGATTGCATCTGGGAGCTCGTAGTTTAACTGTCTTGCTTCAGACAGAAAGAAAGTCCCAATAAGTGAATAGGAAGAACAGTGAAAATGAAAAACAACTCTTGAAAAAAAAGTTGAGGAAATTTGAAGAAAGAATATGTTTTTAGGCTGAAGAGAATTTGTTCAGTAAAATTGTTCAACAATACGGTTGAATTTCAGCTCATTAAGTTTGTGTTCTTTGTTTGTTGAAAATTAAAAGGTTGAAGAAGTAGGGTGAATGTTAGAGTGTTAACAGAATTGATTACCTTTTTTTATTTTGTAAGTAGTTATAATTCAGTTACTTTGCTAGAGTGAATAGTTATAATTCAGTCACTTTGTTAGTGTTGTTTGTGGGCTATATAAGTCGGTCAATGTAATGGACTAAAGTGAGAGGTCTTTGAAATTTATTTCTATTCGTTTAGTAAAATATCCCATTTTCTCCATATTTGTTCTCTTCACTAAAATAATTACTGGTTCTACTTTCACCGTTCATAGCTGTCGTTCGGTGGCCGGAGGCTACCGTGCCAGAGTTTAAGTTTTCTACACCCATAAACGAAAACATCCAAATGTTGAGCTTTACAAAGTATACTGATACACTTCTATTCTATTATACTACTTGCAATTCATAAACGTAAGTATGTTAGGTAGTATAAGTAAAGAAGAATTATGTGCATCTAATAACATTAATGAGGTATCATGCTAGTCATCATTCGTTTATGATTTATATGATAGAGTTCTCATTTATAAGTTAGCTTCATCTAACCTCGGCTATCATGCAATTCACACAATGACTACAAATAAATAAATAACATTTGCACCTTGTACCACATAGCAATCACATAGATAAGATAACAATCTCAATTTCACATAATATCGAAAATGATTCCTGTTAAACAAGTATTATGTGGATGTCTAATCGCACACAACAATCATGCATGAACCCTTAAAAGGAAATCTATCTCACATAGATTAGTAATAATTCTCACAAATATTTCTTAAAAGAAGGTTGTCTAGTTTCATATAGCATCAGACTAAACATACATTGATAACACGCACTTCATAACCATACAATAATACAACACACAATAATTCTCGTCACGGAGGGAGGGAGAGAGGCAGAGATGGAGAAAGAGAGGGAGGGAGAGAAAGAGGGAGGGAGAGAGACATAGGAGAGGGAGAAGGAAAGAGGTGGAGAAAGGGAGGGTGAGAGAGGGGAAGGGGGAGAGGAAGGGAAAGGGAGAAGGGGAGAGAGGGAGAGAATGATTCATTTATACTCTTTGAATTTTACATCGATTTGGAAACCTTGGATGCGTGTTGATGGTTGAGATTAAAAGTTGAAAATCATGAGGTTCTTAGATTTTAACGTTTGCATTTAAAATTGATGAATTAGAATTTAAGGTTTAGGGTTCAAGAAAAACTGCGTGCATATAATATGAGTTAGGAGTCACTTACCCAATACAATTTTTTTTAATTTAATTTTTTTGGATTATTGAATTAATTGAGTTTAATAGTTAAGATTAAAACTTTTAAATTAATAATAATTCAATTTTTTATCGTAAGAATCTCAATAATCAAGTTTCACTCATTTAATGATTTAAAAAACGTGTAAAAGTTAGAAGTTTTATCATATGTAAATGATATTAAATCATATATATATATATATATATATATATGGGTGTTCATAATTCGGTCCAAATCGAATTAACCAATCCAATCAAAATTTCGGTCAGTTAATTGGTCGGTTAATATTGGGTTCGGTCGATTAACGGTTAATAGTTTTTTTTCAAACTTCGGTTTGATTAATTCGATTCTAAATCAGTTAATTAACCGAAATTATTAAATATTTAATAGTATGTATATATATATATATATATATATATATATATATATATTTAGCTTTAGTGCGTTTAAACTTCGGTTTTAACCGAATCAACCGACCAAATAAACCAAAAATATTTAATATTTAATATATAATATATATTATTTATATATTATTTATAAATTTTGATTAATTTGG